GAGAGAGAGAGAGAGAGAGAGAGAGAGAGAGAGAGAGAGAGAGTTTTAATATTTATTTTTTAGTTTTTGGTGGACACAACATCTTTGTTTGTATGTGGTGCTGAGGATCGAACCTGGGCCACACGAATGCCAGGCAAGAGTGCTACCGCTTGAGCCACATCCCCAGCCCAACTTTCCTTCATTTTTAACAGAAGTTCTAATAATTGTATTATAACCAAGGCCCTTTTGATTTTCCAGGTAAACATTGTTGTTTCCTACTTCATCTCTTCCTTTTGTCGTGTTCTAGAGATGATTTTAAAAATACATTTTATTTACAGTTGTGTTTTTTCTATGAACTGTGATCATTGTTGGGAGTTTATTGTCTACTATCACAGAAATACCTGTGAGTGAAACTGGCATGTGGAAAATGCTGGTTTTCAAACCTGATACTCAGATATAATTCCTGCTATGGACACATCCCAAAGAGAATCTTGAACACTACAAGGACCCACATGTAAATGTGGATGAGAACCCATGCAAATGCATGTAAGTCCTTTACATAGTAACACAGATCATATGAGAACAGGAGGAAAACAACCCTTCAGAATTTCATAATTTCCCAAAAATAGCATCCAAAATCTTTGGTCTAACCTCACATAAAGAGGTAAAGTAAACATTTTCATAATTTTATTGATTTCTTGCAGACAATGGATAGGAAACAAGTATTGTTTGTACATTAGCAGAACAATACCCATCCTGAGGTGTTCTCATCCCATAAGGAGAGAGTTTTGTTTCTGATTGGAGCCTGTTCCCTTCCTCAATGGAGACACTGGAAACCTTGGCCTAGATGACAGGTAATGTGAAATTAAATGTTAAGCCTTTGGGAATGAAGATGTTTTTTCCATGAATGGATTCAGTGAGTCATTGCCTTTCATGTGTTCCTGGTTTCAAATGGTTATTTCTAAGTCTCCAAGTTATCACCCTCCACTTATGGATGGTGCACAGATGCAAACACAAACATTCTTCAAAAATATAGGAACACTGCTAATATAAAGCTTACCTGTAATCACCTTGATTTCTAAAGCTATTTTTATATTAATGATCTGTTAACATCTTTACACTTAAATATTAATTTGTGATGTTTGGATCCCCAAAGAGTGTTCTATGAGTTCAATTCACTTGGCCTAATTGATCTACTGAGAATGAGAAAAATAGAAGTAATTTGGAATTTGACACATGTACATACTTGTTGTTTGCTGTGCCCAGAACCTTCAAGTCTCTGTTGCTCTTCTTGGCATATCTTGCCCAAATGGGACTCTGCTGAAAAATGCACAAATTTTTAAACTACTTAGAAAATAATGTGAATGGCAATTAATCCAAGTAAAAAGGAACAGTAGTAATAGTCCTATCATTTTACTTTCCTCAAAATACAGTTTCAATCAAGCTTAATTTTAGGTGAATAAATCTCATGTTTGAAATTTTTATTTTGTTTGCATGAAGGCCTGGGTATTTTATCCAGGAACATGTATATCCTTGGCAAGAACTATTGCATTTATATCAAATTCCCTGTCTTAATATTTGGAGACAGGGCGTCTGTAAGAACCAAAGTTGGCTTGAAACCTGACAGGGATCTGTCCTCAGCCTTTTAAGTACCTGCAATTATAGACGTGTCCCTCTGAAGCTAGTACATATTAATATCAATTAGTAATAATTTTAGTGATCAATGCATCAGAGCACCAATTGGGGTCATACCCTGTGTCACTATGTACAATGCTAAAATAACTCACAGGTTGATCTACTTTAGGTGAAAGTGAATTTCACAGAGAAAAAATTATATTTCTATGGAAATAGGAGGCATCAGAATTTTTACTATCTCTTCTTTTACATATTATATTTAAAAATGTCCATTGTACATCATTTGTGATATCTTGCAAAAGTGATCACATTTACATCTTTATCAACAAATTTCATAGTTTTTAAAAATTTGTTTTGTTTCTTTTCATTTTTACTATTAGGAATCAGTCTGACTTGTGAAGCATCTATGATTATTGCTGTTATTCCTGAGGTAAAGTCTTTTTTCTTTTGCTGGGGCTTCAACAGACATTTTATAGCTTCCAAACTGGGTAATAAACATGTGACCTGTAAAGTATTCATTTTCCTGTCTACTTCCTCATTTCCTGGACTTGAGTGGACTACTTTAATATTATGTTGCAGTCAACATTTTTATTAATTTCCACCACAGTTGAGTTTGTGATAAGAGCCTTAGAAAACAGGTGCTAGCGATGATTTATATTCTAGAGATGGAGATAGTGGAGACTTCAGAAGTGAGATTACCTACCAGAGGCTAGAAATACTCAGAGCTGAAAGGCTGTACATAGAGACAGGGTTTAAATAGGAACATGTTTTATGATGATTTAGGGATTGGTGAGAGAAGAGCAAGAGGACAGTGCAGGCAGATAGAGGGAACAAGATAGAGACTGAGGCAAAATTTACATTATGAAAGATTCCTAGGAAAGTTAAGATGCTTGGACATTCATGTTCTAAAGAGGGACAATGGTCATATGTGCAGTATATGCATAAATAACAGGACCATCCTCAGTGCTATGAGCAGGTGATGATGATGAAGAAGGACCTGTGCATGAATGGAGATGAATAATGAGAAGGCAATAAGTGCATTAGCAAGTTGATGCCAGCCTGAATGGAGGGAATATTTCCAGAAATACAGAGGATAGAAAATTGTCAGTGACCTTTTTAAAATGAAGATTAATGACATGAACAAAGAAAAAAGGTAGGCCACAGGAATGTATGGTTTTTTACCTCACAGTTACAAAGATTTCAAATAAGAAGTGCAGTAAAGTACAGCTAATGTGAATGTTGATTTTCTTTACCAAGTAGTCTTTCTTACGGTAACATCTTCCTATGTTCAGGAAACTCCTTTAGGAAGAAGGTGGGCAATTTTCTGAATCTTGGATATATGAAACACACCAGAAAATGAGAGAGGTCTGTGGGAGAGGTTCAGTGGGAGATCACTGCTTAGCATGTAAAAGGATCCTGTTCAGTGCCCAGCATTGAGAAGAATAGGAACAAACAAACCGTGTCAAAGAAATATGAGCAAATGTTTCTTTGGTATATGCAAGTATATATTTGATTTACAACTCTTAGTCAAAATTTCTGGAAAACTGTACTCCAACAAATGGATATCTATGTGCAAAAAAGGGCCAATAAAAGCAGTAAAATGAATTAAATATGTGTGTTGAGTAAAGCCACAAGACTCAAAGTACTTAAACAAAATCAGGAATATGGGCTCAGTAATATTTACACAGTTGAGTTTTAAAGGAAAAATCATTTTTGGAATGACCAATTATAGAAAGACATAGGTATATATACCAGTGTCAAGATGCAGAATGATCTGTAGTCAGAGGAGGAAAGAAGAAGCCTGAGAAATTCAGTGTCAAAGCTGAGTTAAAAATGTGGCAGTGCAAATCTTTAGTGAATCTTACCAGAATCATTTAATACATTTTATTATGTTTCCTAATCTTCATTTGCCTTATAATTAATAATTCCAAAATTGTTATGAAATTCCCAGGGAAGATATAATTGTTTGCTCATCATGGAGAGTTTTCTGAGCTATAATTAGCTCAGATATATGTGCTGAGAGCATCAGCTAACACCATCTCAATGTTTGTTCATACCCATGTGGGAAACTGGTGTGTCATCTTTTCCTTTATCCACTCGTTTAACCAACATCAGTTTTATATTTCCTCTCTTGTATGAAGAAAGTGATATAACATGTATGGAAAAAAAAAAAAGATGTATGATAAGGCTCAAAGGATTCAGACAAGGCCAACCCAAAGACAAATTGTTTTGAAAACTTAAAGAGTTATCAGATATCAATAAACCATTGTGTTTTAAAGAAATCGGTAAATACATTAAGAGTAATAGTGTTAGTGTTTGAGGAGTAAACTGAATAAAAATTTCTGGTTAAAATTTGAGTCTGGTGTGGCATATGTAGACAGCTTTTTAAGGAATTGCACACAAGTCCCAGATCATCCCAACATCTATCTGCTTTCTAGAGTTCAGAATTTTTCTCAGTAATACGGTGCATTCCTGTCATGTCCAGGGACATGGTTTCTCACAAAAATCAATAAAATAATGATGAAAGCAAAATATTAAGGATGTTAATAAGAAATGTATAGATGAAAATATTAGACTTCTTTAAAGTAAAGAATCCTTAAAAAATGCAATGTTGCTACTCTGAATGACACATACAAATACCTCACACAATGTGGTGCCTACTAAATAAGAAGGGGAGAAATTGGTAGCTGTAGGGTACCCTGATTCTTCCAGCTGCTACTCGTTCTTATCATCTTAGCACCAGATTTTGACTTGAAAGCAGACAAACTGAAGAGAGCTGACTAGAATTCTCTCCATTTACTTCTATTTTCTACCTAAATGCTATTTCCTCCCCCCTCACTTTCCCTTTAGTTTTTCCAAAAAATCCATAAAGTGGGAGCTTCCCTTTTTCCATTTTACACCCTTTATATGGATCTTTGCCACTATTTGTTGCCTGCCAAAGTAACAGATTTATCTTAGAAATATCATTTCTTCATCTTAGTCCTATGTCCTTTACACATCTCAAGAGACATGCTCAGAATGAAAGCCAGATTTATGATTGCACTTGATCCGGTTGTGTCCTCAAACTGTAGGAATCAATAGCAATTCTTGCATATTTCCCAAAAGGAGATACAATGCACAGATCCAAATCATGTTGTTTATACATCAGAATCATTGGAATCACCTTAGATTCTAATGGACAAGTAGAAGCAAGAGTTTCAAGATGGTGCCCAAAGGATGATTCCTTATAGTTGCAGAGTTCCCGTGTGAAATTTGTCATCTTCAAATTCGTCTAAGTTAATTTCAATGTATCTGTGGATTCCTCCCTAAAATGTCCCCACAAATTAAAATTCATAAGGATGTGTAATATCTTCATTGATAATTTTTCATTATTAATTTTAGATTAGATATCTGTGGATTTTGGACATGCTTAATTACCATTCATATTTCTTTCTACTTTTACATTTGGTGTTTCTGCACTATCATTTTGCCCTAGGCTGTATCAACATATTATATGTCATTAAATCATTTGGGGTAACTGAACTTAGCTCTGTGGCAACAGGTATTCACTCCTCAATTTATTCCCAACTGTGAATAAGTCAAAAAGGGTGGGAAAGTTTTACTTTCCCCTTCACTCAACTTTGGGAATGGAAACATGCAAATTCTTCCCACATTTTGAAAACCCTGTTCTTTTCCCTTTTCAAGTGTTGTTGAAATTTCCTACCCTATCCTGACTACCATTTATTCTTTCTATTTTTTTTACTATGTGTACTTACTGCCTTTCTCAGTCTTCACTCCCTCTTCTTCTGTTATTTTCCTTATTTCAGATTTACCTGTGAGAGAAGCATGTGTCAAATGCAATTCACAATGCAATTCCTTAAGCAATACATTCAATTCAACCTGTGGCTGAAAAGTAATGAAATACACCATTTCTTATATTTATTTAACCCTATTATTTATTTTAATAGACATATTTCTTTAACAAGTACTGTATGCCAGTGCTCATATTTTTTGGCAATGCCCTTTACAATGTATTTTGTATTCTATATGGTTCTTACCTTGTCCATGTCCATTTATTGTCTTTGTGCTTGGTTCAAATATCCTGGACCCACAAGCAGCACACACCTTTTGATGTTTCTCAGAATCACTCTGGTAAAAATAATGACAATAATAAGTTTCATATAGCTTTCTGCATCCCTCTCTGACCATCATTATATTTATACTTAGGAAGACATTGCAATTGCAGATTACACCATTACATTTTCTGCAACAATATTTCCATATAAGACACAATTTCACATGCTGTCTTGATGAAGCTGAGCTCCTCTCTTCATCTGGCTACTGATGGGGAACATCAGGAAGAATGAAAGAGGAAATGTATTCTCTTACACCAAACTCACTGATATACATATATCCAAAACAACTAACATCAGTGTTTAATTAGTAAGCTCTGCATTCTTACTCAAATCTAAAAACAGAGTTGAAAATTTATTTAAAATGCTTTTGTGAATTAGATTTCATGTTTTACAGATTCAGTATTTCTAACAATGAAGGGCCAATTGTTTTATTGATTTATATGATACTTGTTATGGTAAGACCCTTCCAATGGGTCACCTCCAGTAGGAAGAAAATACTCTTGGACTTGTTTCATTTGAGACTCCAGAAACTTCCAAATATTTACCTCATTGAGTACTAAAAGAAGAGAGAGTCAATAAGAGAATATATCTATTTTGTATTCTAACTTGTTACATATGACAGCAGAATGATTACAATTCATATTACACATAAAGAGCACAATTTTTCATATCTCTGGTTGTATATATAGTGCATATTTTATGTGAACAAAGAAGCACACTCAATTTGGTTAGAGTATGCAATACTTTTCATTGAAGAAGGAACTAAAAGGAATTTCAAAACAGTAAGGCAGTAGCACAGCATCACACTGAGTTTCTTGACTGACTACTTTCAAAGTTTTGAACCAGAAAAACTGATGAATCTGCATAATGAATAAGACAGCCTGTGTGGAAATACTGGGGACTCTCAACAGGAATCAGTGACCAGATGAACACACATGTGCCTACACACCATGTAGGGTCAAGCCACTCAGATGACAGGCATTTCAAGTTCTTTTCCATATTATCACCACACTGATATTGTAGACACCATCCTGGAAATTACAATAAAATCCTGAGGGCAAACACCTTTGAGAAGTGTTCTATTGTAGTACCTCTGTGGGCAACACAGAAATCATGGCTTTAAAAACAAGAGGTGCGATGGTATCTTAGGGTGGTTTTGATTTGCATTTCTCTGACTGCTAGAGATGGTGAGCATTTTTTCATGTACTTGTTGATTGACTGTATGTCCTCCTCTGAGAAGTGTCTGTTCAGGTCCTTGGCCCATTT